TGGAGGGGGTGATGGGTATAAAGGGGGAGATGGGGGGGATGGGGGTACAAAGGGGAAGATGGGGGGGTCATGGGGGTTTACAATGGGGGAGATGGGGGGAGGGGAGGAGGCCCCTCCCCACAACCCCATTCCCGTATCGCCATGGCCCCATAGCCCCCTATTCCCATGTCCCATGTCCCATATCCAAATACGCCCTTGGCCCCATAAGCCTGTGTCCTGTTCCCATAGCCCACATCCCATTTCTCATACCCACACCCCATACCCCATACATCCCTTATCCTACACCCCATACCCCACATCCCATAGCCTATATCCCCATACATCCCATGCCCCATAACCCAGATCCCACACCCCATACCCTATACATGTACCCCAGACCCACACCCTGTCCCAATACACATACCCATACCCTACACACCATACCCCATACCCTATATCCTATGCCCCAGACCCATACCCCCAATACCAACCCCATACCCATACCCCACACCCCCATCCCATACCCCATACCCATACCCTTTACCAATACCCATACCCATACCCCATATCCCATAACCCATACCCCATACCCCATACACCATACCCCATATCCCATACCCCACACCCCATACCCCATATCCCACACCCCACATCCCGTACCCCATACCCTATACCCCACACCCCATACCACACATCCCATACCCCATACCCCACACCCCACATCCCATATCCCATACCCCATACCACACACCCCATATCCCATACCCCACACCCCATACCCCACATCCCACACCCCATACCCCACACCCCATATACCCCATACCCCATATCCCACACCCCACACCCCACACACCACATCCCATACCCGATACCCCACACCCCACATCCCATATCCCATACCCCATACCACACACCCCATATCCCATACCCCACACTCCATACCACACATCCTACACCCCATACCCCACACCCCATATACCCCATACCCCATACCCTATACCCCACACCCCACACCCCACATCCCATACCCCATACCCCACACCCCACATCCCATATCCCATACCCCATACCACACACCCCATATCCCATACCCCACACCCCATATACCCCCATATACCTCATACCCTATACCCCACACCCCACACCCCACATCCCATACCCCACACCCCATACCCCACACCCCATATACCCCATATCCCATACCCCACACCCCACACCCCAACCCCATACCCTTACCACATTCCCTATATCCTACACCCCCCCCCCCACCCCATACCCCCACCCCCCATCCCCCTCACCCACGTCGCTGTCCCGATGGTTCTTGATCAACTCCCCCAGCTCAAAGTTCCCGGCGATGACGGCGACCTGGGGGGGATGGGGATGGGGATATGGGGGGGGATGGGATATGGGGGGGGGGGAGGGGTCTGGGGACACCCATGGGGTCCCATTGGGGTGCTCCCCCCCCCCCCCATTCCCGGCTCTTCCCCATATTCCCACCTGGAACGGGGTCTGCCCGCTGTTGTTCTTCACCTCCTTGTTGGCCCCGCGGTACAGGAGGATGCGGGCGCAGCTCTCCTGGGGGAGCGGCACCCATGGACCCATGGCAGCACAGGGCCCGGAGCACTGTCCCACACCCCACATCCTGCACCCCACATCCCACACCCCACATCCCACACCCCACATCCCACATCCCATATCCCACATCCCACATCCCACATCCCACATCCCACACCCCACATCCCATATCCCATACCCCATATCCCATATCCCACATCCACACCCCACATCCCACACCCCACATCCCACATCCCACACCCCACATCCCACATCCCACACCCCACACCCCACATCCCATATCCCACATCCCAACCCCACATCCCACATCCCACACCCCACATCCCACATCCCACACCCCACATCCCACATCCCACATCCCATATCCCACATCCCACATCCCACATCCCACACCCCACATCCCATATCCCACATCCAACATCCCACATCCCACACCCCACATCCCACATCCCACATCCCATATCCCACATCCCACATCCCACACCCCACATCCCATATCCCATACCCCATATCCCATATCCCACATCCCACATCCCACATCCCATATCCCATATCCCACATCCCACATCCCACATCCCACACCCCACATCCCACATCCCACATCCATATCCACATCCCACATCCCACATCCCACACCCCACATCCCACATCCCACATCCCACATCCCACATCCCACATCCCACATCCCATATCCCACATCCCACATCCCACATCCCACACCCCACATCCCACATCCCACATCCCATATCCCACATCCCACATCCCACATCCCACACCCCACATCCCATATCCCACATCCCACATCCCACATCCCACACCCCACATCCCACATCCCACATCCCATATCCCACATCCCACATCCCACATCCCACACCCCACATCCCATATCCCATACCCCATATCCCATATCCCACATCCCACACCCCACATCCCACACCCCACATCCCATATCCCCATACCCCATATCCCACATCCCACACCCCACATCCCACACCCCACATCCCATATCCCATACCCCATATCCCATATCCCACATCCCACACCCCACATCCTGCACCCCACAGCCCATATCCCACACCCCATATCCCATACCCCATATCCCACACCCCACACCCCACATCCCATATCCCATATCCCACATCCCACATCCCACATCCCACATCCCATACCCCATATCCCATATCCCACATCCCACATCCCACACCCCATACCCCATATCCCATATCCCACATCCCATATCCAATACCCCATATCCCATACCCCATATCCCATACCCCATACCCCATATCCCATACCCCATACCCCATATCCCATACCCACACACCCCCACACCCCATACCCCACACCCCATATCCCACACCCCGTACCCCATACGCCATATCCCATATCCCATACCCTGTATCCTATATCACATACCCCATATCCCACACCCCATATCCCATATTCCATACCCCATACCCCATACCCCACACCCCACACACCCCACACCCCATACCCCACACACCCCATATCCCACACCCCGTACCCCATACCCCATATCCCATACCCCACACCCCACACCCCATATCCCATACCCCATATCCCGTACCCATACCCCATATCCCATACCCCATATCCTATACCCCACACCCCATATCCCACACCCCATATCCCATACCCCATATCCCATATCCCATACCCCATATCCCATATCCCATACCCCATATCCCATATCCCACACCCCACACCCCCACACCCCATATCCCACCTTGTTGTAGAGGGCACAGATGTGCAGCGCTGTGTTCCCGGATGCGTTCTGAGCCGCCGCCTCTGCCCCATAGAACAGCAAATGCTCCAAGTGCTGCGAGTGCCCGTGCTGGCAGGCCTGGGGTAGGGACATGGGTATGGGGTATGGGGTATGGGGTGTGGGGTATATGGGGTGTGGGGTGTGGGTTATGGGATATGGGGTATGGGGTACAGGGTGTGGGGTATGGGGTATATGGGGTGTGGGGCATGGGGTATGGGATATGGGGTATGGGGTATGGGATATGGGGTATATGGGGTATGGGATATGGGGTATGGGGTATATGGGGTATGGGATATGGGGTATGGGGTATATGGGGTGTGGGATATGGGGTATGGGTATATGGGGTGTGGGGCATGGGGTATGGGATATGGGGTATGGGGTATATGGGGTGTGGGGTGTGGGATATGGGGTGTGAGATATATGGGATATGGGGTGTGGGGTATGGGGTATGGGGTATGGATATGGGGTATGGGATATGGGGTATGGGATATATGGGGTGTGGGGTATGGGGTATGGGGCATGGATGTGGGGTATGGGATATGGGGTATGGGATATATGGGATATGGGGTATGGGGTATGGGGTATGGGGCATGGATATGGGGTATGGGATATATGGGATATGGGGTATGGGGTATGGGGCATGGATATGGGGTATGGGATATGGGGTGTGGGATGTGCAATATGGGGTATGGGATATGGGGGATGGGATATGGGGATGGGGTATGGGGCCATGAGAACATGGGACAATGAAGACATGGGTCCACAAGTACATTGGTCCGTGAGAACATGGGTCCATGGTTCCATGATCACCCATGATGCCCTATGATGACCCATAACGACTCATGATGCCCCATGGTTCCATGAGGACCCATAAGGACCCATGGTTCCATGAGGACCTATAAAGACCCATGGTTCCATGAGGACCCATAAGGACCCATGATGACCTATGGTTCCATGATGCCCCATGGTTCCATGATGACCCATGATGACCCATGATGACCCATAACGACTCATGATGACCCATGGTTCCATGAGGACCCATAAGGACCCATGGTTCCATGAGGACCTATAAAGACCCATGGTTCCATGAGGACCCATAAGGACCCATGATGACCTATGGTTCCATGATGCCCCATGGTTCCATGATGACCCATGATGACCCATGATGACCCATAACGACTCATGATGACCCATGGTTCCATGAGGACCCATAAGGAGCCATGATGACCCATGGTTCCATGATGCCCCATAAGGACCCATAATGACCCATGGTTCCATAATGACCCATAATGACCCATGATGCCCCATGGTTCCATGAGGACCCATAAAGACCCATGGTTCCATGAGGACCCATAAGGACCCATGATGCCCCATGGTTCCATAATGCCCCATGGTTCCATGATGACCCATAGGGACCCATGATGCCCCATGGTTCCATGAGGACCCATGATGCCCCATAATGACCCATAATGACCCGTGATGCCCCATGGCTCCATGATGACCCATAATGACCCATAGTGCCCCATGGTTCCATGATGACCCATAAGGACCCATGATGCCCCATGGTTCCATGATGATCCATAATGACCCATGGTTCCCTGAGGACCCATAAGGACCCATGATGCCCCATGGTTCCATGATGATCCATAATGACCCATGGTTCCCTGAGGACCCATAAGGACCCATGATGCCCCATGGTTCCATGATGATCCATAGGGCCCCATGGTTCCATGATGACCCATAAGGACCCATAATGACCCATGGTTCCATGATGATCCATAATGACCCATGGTTCCATGATGACCCATAAGGACCCATGATGACCCATGGTTCCATGATGCCCCATGGTTCCATGATGACCCATAAGGACCCATGATGCCCCATGGTTCCATGAGGACCCATGATGCCCCATAATGACCCATAATGACCCGTGATGCCCCATGGCTCCATGATGACCCATAATGACCCATAGTGCCCCATGGTTCCATGATGCCCCATAAGGACCCATGATGCCCCATGGTTCCATGATGATCCATAATGACCCATGGTTCCCTGAGGACCCATAAGGACCCATGATGCCCCATGGTTCCATGATGATCCATAGGGCCCCACGGTTCCATGATGACCCATAAGGACCCATAATGACCCATGGTTCCATGATGATCCATAAGGACCCATGGTTCCATGATGACCCATAAGGACCCATGATGCCCCATGGTTCCATGATGATCCATAGGGCCCCATGGTTCCATGATGACCCATAAGGACCCATGATGCCCCATGGTTCCATGATGATCCATAATGACCCATGGTTCCATGATGACCCATAAGGACCCATGATGCCCCGTGGTTCCATGATGCCCCATAAGGACCCATGATGCCCCATGGTTCCATGATGACCCATAGGGACCCATGATGCCCCATGGTTCTATGATGCCCCATAAGGACCCATGATGCCCCGTGGTTCCATGATGATCCATAATGACCCATGGTTCCATGAGGACCCATAAGGACCCATGATGCCCCATGATTCCATGATGATCCATAATGACCCATGGTTCCATGAGGACCCATAAGGACCCATGATGACCCATGGTTCCATGATGCCCCATGGTTCCATGATGACCCATAAGGACCCATGATGCCCCATGGTTCCATGAGGACCCATGATGCCCCATAATGACCCATAATGACCCGTGATGCCCCATGGCTCCATGATGACCCATAATGACCCATAGTGCCCCATGGTTCCATGATGACCCATAAGGACCCATGATGCCCCATGGTTCCATGATGATCCATAATGACCCATGGTTCCATGATGACCCATAAGGACCCATGATGCCCCATGGTTCCATGATGATCCATAATGACCCATGGTTCCATGAGGACCCATAAGGACCCATAAAGCCCCATGGTTCCATGATGACCCATAAGGACCCATAATGACCCATGGTTCCATGATGATCCATAATGACCCATGGTTCCATGATGACCCATAAGGACCCATAATGACCCATGGTTCCATGATGATCCATGATGCCCCATGGTTCCATGATGACCCATAAGGACCCATGATACCCCATGGTTCCATAATGCCCCATAATGCCCCATAATGCCCCATAAGGACCCATAATGCCCCATAAGGACCCATAATGCCCCATAATGCCCACAGTGCCCCGTGGTGCCCCACGGCGCGGCGGCGGCCCGCACCTGGTGGATCTCCTGCCAGCCGTTCTCGTCGGCGGTGCCGATGTGGGCCCGGTGGGCCAGGAGCAGCTCGCAGCACCGTGGGTCGCCCCCCACCATGGCCGTGTGGTACAGGGGGGTCAGCCCCCGGCGGTCCTTGTAGTTGGGGGAGCCCCCCAGGTCCAGCAGCGCCTGCAAGTGGCACCCAATGAGAGAGCACCCAATGAGAGAGCACCCAACGAGAGAGCACCCAATCAGAGAGGACCCAATGAGAGAGCACCCAATGAACCCTCCCAGAGCACCCAATGACCACAATGACCCAAGGAGCACTCAATGAACCCATGGACCCATTGCACCCATTGAACCCAATGACCAAGAGCATCCATTGAACCCAATGACCAAGAGCACCCAATGACCACAATGACCAAGAGCACTCAATGAACCCAATGACCCACAGCACCCAATGAACCCAATGACAAAGGGCACCCATTGAACCCAACGACCCACGGCACTGAATGAACTCAATGACCCATTGCACCCATTGACCCATTGCACCCAATGATCCCAATGACCAACTGCACCCAATGAACCCAATGACAAAGAGCACCCATTGAACCCAATGACCCACAGCACCCAATGAACCCAATGACCAAGGGCACCCATTGAACCCAACGACCCACAGCACCCAGTGAACTCAATGACCCATTGCACCCATTTATCCATTGAACCCAAGGAATCCATTGACCCATTGAACCCAATGACCCACAGCACCCAATGAGCCCAATGACCAAGAGCACCCATTGAACCCAACGACCCACAGCACCCAATGACCACAATGACCAAGAGCACCCATTGAACCCAATGACCAAGGGCACCCGTTGAACCCAATGACCCACAGCACCCATTGAACCCAACGACCCCCAGCATCCATTGAACCCAATGACCAAGAGCACCCAATGAACCCAACGACCCACAGCACCCAATGACCACAATGACCAAGAGCACCCATTGAACTCAATGACCCACAGCACCCAATGACCGCAATGACCAAGAGCACCCAACGAACCCAACGACCCACAGCACCCAATGACCACAATGACCAAGAGCACCCATTGAACCCAACGACCCACAGCACCCATTGAACCCAATGCCCAAGAGCACCCAATGCCCACAATGACCAAGAGCACCCATTGAACCCAACAAGACACAGCACCCAATGAACCCAACGACCCCCAGCACCCATTGAACCCAACGACCCACAACACTCAATGAACCCAATGACCCCCAGCACCCATTGGACCCAACGACCCACAACACCCAATGAACCCAATGACCCCCAGCACCCATTGAACCCAATGACCCCAGCACCTATTGAACCCAACGACCCACAGCACCCAATGAACCCAACGACCCCCAGCACCCATTGAACCCAACGACCCCCAGCACCCATTGAACCCAATGACCAAGAGCATCCAATGAACCCAACGACCCCCAGCACCCATTGAACCCAACGACCCCCAGCACCCATTGAACCCAATGACCCATTGCACCCCGCGCCCCGTTGCCCCCGTCCCGCACCAGCAGCGCCGGGTACCGCCGGGTCCGTGCCGCCCGGTGCAGGGCCGTGGCCCCATCGCGGGCGCGGAAGTCGAGGTGCGCCCCCCCCAGGCACAGCAACCGGATGATCTCCACCTCCTGCGGCCCCTCGCGCTGCGCCGCCAGCGTCAGCGGCGTCTCTGTGGCACCCAAGAGCACCCAATGGCACCCAATGGTACCCAATGGCACCCAATGGAAACCAATGGTAACCAATGGCACCCAATTGAAACCAATGGCAACCAATGGCAACCAATGGAAACCAATGGTAACCAATGGCAACCAATGGAAACCAATGGCACCCAATGGAAACCAATGGCACCCAATGGCACCCAATGGTAACCAGTGGCAACCAATGGCACCCAATGGCACCCAATGGAAACCAATGGTAACTGATGGCACCCAATGGCAACAAGTGGCACCCAATGGCACCCAATGGAAACCAATGGCACCCAATGGAAACCAATGGTAACCAATGGTAACCAATGGCACCCAATGGCAACCAGTGGCACCCAATGGCACCCCATGGCAATGAATGGCACCCAATGGCAACCAATGGCATCCAATGGCAACCAATGACACCTAATGGCACCCAATGGCAAGGAATGGCACCCAATGGCACCCCATGGGAATGAGTGGCACCCAATGGCACCCAATGGCATCCAATGGCAACCAATGGCATCCAAAGGCACCCAATGGCAACCAATGGCACCCAATGGCAGCCAATGGCAACCAATGGCACCCAATGGCAGCCAATGGCAACCAATGGCACCCATTGGCACGCACGGCCACCCAATGGCACCCCATTGTCAACGATCACTCCATTATCACCCCATGGACACCCCAGACTCAACCCAGTAGCACCCCATCATTATCCCATCACCCCAGTGGTACCCATTATCCATTACCCATCACCCCATTGTCATGCATCACTCCCCTGGCACCCATCACCCCATAACCACCCCATTGTCACCCCATTGCCATCCATCACCTCATTATCACCCCATTGTCACCCTGTTGTGACCCAAGGGTTACCCCATTGTCACCCATCACTCCATTATCACCCCATTATCACCCCATTACCACCCCATTCTTACTCCATTATCACCCCATTGCCACCCCATTGTCACCCCATTATCACCCCATTGCCACCCCATTACCACCCCATTCTTACTCCATTATCACCCCATTGCCACCCCATTGTCACCCCATTATCACCCCATTGCCACCCCATTATCACCCCATTACCACCCCATTCTTACTCCATTATCACCCCATTGCCACCCCCTTATCACCCCATTGCCACCCCATTATCACCCCATTGCCACCCATCACTCCATTATCACCCCATTGCCACCCCATTGTTACTCCATTATCACCCCATTGCCACCCCATCGTTACCCCATTATTACCCCATCATCACCCCATTGCCACCCATCACCCCATTGTCACCCCACCATCACCCCATTGCCACCCCATTGCCACCCAATTATCACCCCATTACCAACCCCACTGTTACTCCATTATCACCCATTTCCACCCCATTATTGCCCCATTGCCACCCCATCATCACCCCATTGCCACCCATCACTCCTCTATCACCACATTGCCACCCCATTATCACCCCATTGCCACCCCATCATCACCCCATTGCCACCCATCACTCCTCTATCACCACATTGCCACCCCACTGTTACTCCATTCTCACCCCATTGCCACCCCCTTATCGCCCCATTGCCACCCCATTATCACCCCATTATCACCCCATTGCCACCCCCTTATCGCCCCATTGCCACCCCATTATCACCCCATTGCCACCCCATTATCACCCCATTTCCACCACATTGCCACCCCCATTATCACCCCATTGCCACTCATCACTCTCATCACCCCATTGCCGCCCCATTATCACCTGAATATCACCCCATTGCCACCCCCACTATCACCCTATTATTACCCCATTACCACCCCATTATCAGCACATTGCCACCCCATTGCCACCCCATTGTCTCCCCATAATCACCCCATTATCACCCCATCACCACCCCATCACCACCCCATTCGCCACCCCATCGCCACCCCATCGCCACCCCATTACCACCCCATCCCCCCCCATCACCACCCCATCACCACCCCATTACCACCCCATCACCACCCCATCACCACCCCATTACCACCCCATCACCACCCCATCTCCACCCCATCACCACCCCATCTCCACCCCATCACCACCCCATCACCACCCCATCACCACCCCATCTCCACCCCATCACCACCCCATCTCCACCCCATCTCCACCCCATCTCCACCCCATCACCACCCCCATCTCCACCCCATCACCACCCCATCTCCACCCCATCACCACCCCATCTCCACCCCATCTCCACCCCATCACCACCCCATCACCACCCCATCACCACCCCATCACCACCCCATCACCCCCCCATCACCACCCCATCACCACCCCATCACCACCCCATTACCACCCCATCTCCCCCCCATCACCACCCCATCGCCACCCCATCCCCCCCCCATCACCACCCCATCACCACCCCATCACCACCCCATTACCACCCCATCACCAGCCCATCACCACCCCATCACCACCCCATCTCCACCCCATCACCACCCCATCTCCACCCCATCACCACCCATTACCACCCCATCACCACCCCATCACCACCCCATCACCACCCCATCTCCACCCCATTACCACCCCCATCACCACCCCATCACCACCCCATCACCACCCCATCTCCACCCCATTACCACCCCATCTCCACCCCATTACCACCCCATCACCACCCCATCTCCACCCCATCACCACCCCATCACCACCCCATCTCCACCCCATCACCACCCCATCTCCACCCCATCACCACCCCATCACCACCCCATCTCCACCCCATCACCACCCCATCACCACCCCATCACCACCCCATCACCACCCCATTGCCATGTTGGGGGTCCCTCACCCCCCGAGTCGGAGTCGTGGTAGTTGGGGTCCAGGCCCCGGTCCAGCAGGCGCGCGACCTTCTCAGCTGAGCCGTGCTGCACGTAGTCCAGAAACTTCCGGAGCCCCGTCTGGGGACGGGATGTGGGGTGGGGGTGTGGGGTGGGGAGTGTGGATATGGGGTGTGGGTATGGGGTGTGGATATGGGGTGTGGGGTGTGGGATATGGGGTGTGGGATATGGGGTGTGGGGTATGGGATGTGGGGTGTGGGGTGTGGGATATGGGGTGTGGATATGGTGTGTGGATATGGGGTGTGGGGTGTGGGGTTATGGGATATGGGGTGTGGGGTGTGGGATATGGGGTGTGGGGTGTGGGGTGTGGATATAGGGTATTGGGTGTGGGGTATGGGGTATGGGATACGGGGTGTGGGGTGTGGGGTGTGGGTGTGGGGTGTGGATATAGGGTATGGGGTGTGGGGTGTGGATATGGGGTGTGGGATATGGGGTGTGGATATAGGGTATGGGGTGTGGGGTATGGGATATGGGGTGTGGGGTGTGGGATATGGGGTATGGGGTGTGGGGTGTGGGATATGGGGTGTGGGATATGGGGTGTGGATATAGGGTATGGGGTGTGGGGTATGGGATATGGGGTGTGGGGTGTGGGATATGGGGTGTGGGATATGGGGTGTGGGGTGTGGGGTGTGGGGGTGTAGGGGTGGGGTGTGGATATAGGGTATGGGGTTTGTGGGGTGTGGGTTGTGGGGTATGGGATGTGGGGTGTGGATATAGGGTATGGGGTATATGGGGTATGGGGTGTGGGTTGTGGGTGTGGGGTGGGGGGTGTGGGGTGTGGGATATGGGGTGTGGGGTATAGGGTGTGGGGTGTGGGGTGTGGACATAGGGTATGGGGTATATGGGGTGTGGGGTGAGGGGTATGGGATGTGGGGTGTGGGGTGTGGATATAGGGTATGGGGTTTGTGGGGTGTGGGTTGTGGGGTATGGGGTATGGGATGTGGGGTGTGGGGTACGGATACAGGATATGGGGTATGGGGTATGTGGTGTGGGGTATGGGGTGTGGGGTATGGGGATATCAGGTATGGATATGGGGTATGGGGCATGGGGTGTGGGGTATGGATATGGGGTGAGGGGTATGGATATGGGGCATGGGGCGTATGGGATATGGGGTGTGGGGTATGGGGCATGGGATATGGGGTATGGGGTATGGGATGTGGGGTGTGGGGTACGGATACAGGATATGGGGTATGGGGTATGTGGTGTGGGGTATGGGGTGTGGGGTATGGGGATATCAGGTATGGATATGGGGTATGGGGCATGGGGTGTGGGGTATGGATATGGGGTGAGGGGTATGGATATGGGGCATGGGGCGTATGGGATATGGTTTGTGGGGTATGGGGCATGGGATATGGGGTATGGGGTGTGGGATGTGGGGTGTGGATGTGGGGTATAGGTATGGGGTACGGGGTATAAATATGGGCCATGGGATCACACAGGGCCACAGCATTGGTGGTGGCCACGCAACAAAGGTGTGGCCAAAGGGATAAGGGGCGTGGCTTCGGGAGGGGAGGGGCAGGGGGCGTGGCCTGGCGTGGCCACACCTCTCACCTTGGTGTGGAGCTTGGCGAGCTGCTTCTCGTCCAGGTTGGTTTGCTTGTACACGCGGGTCTTGTACCGGAACTGGAGGGGGGGGCGGAGTCACGGAAAGGGGGCGTGGTCAGCGAGGCCACGCCCCCTTCACCCCCCCAATGGCCACGCCCATTCATTCACCACGCCCACATCCAGGTTGGCTGCACCCTCATTGGCCCTCGTGAGCCTTAATACAACGTCTTCGTATGGAAGCCCCCTCCCCATTGGCTCCTCCCACCCAAGTCCCGCCCATTGGATTGGCCCCACCCACCTCCCTGTAGGCCGCGCCCTGCTTAAAGCCTATATTTGGTGAGGTGCACTCACCCCATTGGCCCCTCCCACTTATTACCCACCCTTCCCATTGGCTCCTCCCACCGATGTCCCGCCCTTCCCATTGGCCCCTCCCACCCATGTCCCCCCCTTCCCATTAGCCCCTCCCCCCCATGTCCAACCTTCCCATTGGCTCCTCCCACCTCGTTCTGTCCTTCCCATCTTTCCCACCCTTCCCATTGGCCCCTCCCACCCATGTCCCCCCTTCCCATAAGCCCCTCCCACCCACGTCCAACCTTCCCATTGGCTCCTCCCACCTCGTTCTGTCCTTCCCATCTTCCCCACCCTTCCCATTGGCCCATCCCACCCACATCCCCCTTTCCCATTAGCTCCTCCCACCCACGTCCAACCTTCCCATTGGACCCTCCCACCCCGTTCTGTCCTTCCCATTTTCCCCTCCCCCATCCTCCCTTCCCCCCTCCCCATTAACCCCACCCCCCCATAACCCCACCCATTCAAGCCCCTCCCCTTTGCCACACCTCCAGGTAGGGCACTCCCTTCCCATTAGCTCCTCCTACCCATGTCCCCCCCTTCCCATTGGCCCCTCCCACTCACGTCCCACCCTTCCCATCGACTCCTCCCACCCCATCCTGTCCTTCCCATTAGCCCCTCCCACCCATGTCCAACCTTCCCATTGGCCCCTCCCACCCATGTCCCACCCTTCCCATTGGCCCCTCCCACCCATGTCCCACCTTCCCATTAGCTCCTCCCACCCATGTCCCACCTTCCCATTAGCTCCTCCCACCCACGTCCCACCCTTCCCATTGGCCCCTCCCACCCACGTCCCACCCTTCCCATCGACTCCTCCCACCCCATCCTGTCCTTCCCATTAGCCCCTCCCACCCATGTCCAACCTTCCCATTGGCCCCTCCCACCCCATCCTGTCCTTCCCATTTTCCCCTCCCCCATCCTCCCTTCCCCCCTCCCCATTAACCCCACCCCCCCCATAACCCCACCCCTTCAAGCCCCTCCCCTTTGCCACACCTCCAGGTAGGGCACTCCCTTCCCATTAACTCCTCCTACCCATGTCCCCCCCTTCCCATTGGCTCCTCCCACCCACATCCCACCCTTCCCATTGGCTCCTCCCACCCCATCCTGTCCTTCCCATTGGCCCCTCCCACCCATGTCCCGCCCTTCCCATTGGCCCCTCCCACCCATATCCAACCTTCCCATTAGCCCCTCCCACCCATGTCCCACCCTTCCCATTGGCTCCTCCCACCCATGTCCAACCTTCCCATTGGCTCCTCCCACCCCATCCTGTCCTTCCCATCTTTCCCACCCTTCCCATTGGCCCCTCCCACCCCATCCTGTCCTTCCCATTTTCCCCTCCCCCATCCTCCCTTCCCCCCTCCCCATTAACCCCACCCCCCCCATAACCCCACCCATTCAAGCCCCCCCTCCCACCCATGTCTAACCTTCCCATTAGCTCCTCCCACCCACATCCCCCTTTCCCATTGGCTCCTCCCACCCACGTCCCACCCTTCCCATTAGCTCCTCCCACCCATGTCCCACCTTCCCATTAGCTCCTCCCACCCACGTCCCACCCTTCCCATTGGCCCCTCCCACCCACGTCCCACCCTTCCCATCGACTCCTCCCACCCCATCCTGTCCTTCCCATTAGCCCCTCCCACCCATGTCCAACCTTCCCATTGGCCCCTCCCAACCCATCCTGTCCTTCCCATTTTCCCCTCCCCCATCCTCCCTTCCCCCCTCCCCATTAACCCCACCCCCCCCATAACCCCACCCCTTCAAGCCCCTCCCCTTTGCCACACCTCCAGGTAGGGCACTCCCTTCCCATTAACTCCTCCTACCCATGTCCCCCCCTTCCCATTGGCTCCTCCCACCCACATCCCACCCTTCCCATTGGCTCCTCCCACCCCATCCTGTCCTTCCCATTGGCCCCTCCCACCCATGTCCCGCCCTTCCCATTGGCCCCTCCCACCCATGTCCAACCTTCCCATTAGCCCCTCCCACCCATGTCCCACCCTTCCCATTGGCTCCTCCCACCCATGTCCAACCTTCCCATTGGCTCCTCCCACCCCATCCTGTCCTTCCCATCTTTCCCACCCTTCCCATTGGCCCCTCCCACCCCATCCTGTCCTTCCCATTTTCCCCTCCCCCATCCTCCCTTCCCCCCTCCCCATTAACCCCACCCCCCCCATAACCCCACCCATTCAAGCCCCCCCTCCCACCCATGTCTAACCTTCCCATTAGCTCCTCCCACCCACATCCCCCTTTCCCATTGGCTCCTCCCACCCACGTCCCACCCTTCCCATTAGCCCCTCCCACCCATGTCCAACCTTCCCATTGGCTCCTCCCACCCATGTCCCCCCTTCCCATTAGCCCCTCCCACCCACATCCAACCTTCCCATTGGCTCCTCCCACCTCGTTCTGTCCTTCCCATCTGCCCCACCCTTCCCATTGGCCCCTCCCACCCCATCCTGTCTTTCCCATTAGCCCCTCCCACCCATGTCCAACCCTCCCCTTTCCTCCACACCCCCCCAATTCCCACCTCCTGCATCCTCCCTTCCCCCCTCCCCATTAACCCCACCCCCCCCATAACCCCACCCCTTCAAGCCCCTCCCCTTTGCCACACCTCCAGGTAGGGCACTCCCTTCCCATTAACTCCTCCTACCCATGTCCAACCTTCCCATTGGCTCCTCCCACCCACATCCCACCCTTCCCATTGGCTCCTCCCACCCCATCCTGTCCTTCCCATTGGCCCCTCCCACCCATGTCCTGCCCTTCCCATTGGCCCCTCCCACCCATGTCCCACCTTCCCATTGGCCCCTCCCACCCCATCCTGTCTTTCCCATTGGCCCATCCCACCCATGTCCCACCCTTCCCATTAGCTCCTCCCACCCACATCCCCCTTTCCCATTGGCTCCTCCCACCCATGTCCACCCTTCCCATTGGCCCCTCCCACCCACATCCCCCCTTCCCCTTTCCTCCACACCCCCCCCCCAATTCCCACCTCCCCCATCCTCCCTCCCCATTAACCCCACCCCCCCCATAACCCCACCCCTTCAAGCCCCTCCCCTTTGCCACACCTCCAGGTAGGGCACTCCCTGCTCGAAGCTCTGGGGGTAGTCCCGCAGGGGCCTCTCCTCATCCAGGAACTTGGCGTCGCGCCCCGCGGCCGCCGGTTGGAAGAGGCCGTAGTTGAGGCCGTCGTGGAGCCCCTCGGTCAGCGCGCACAGGAGCTGCTGCTTGGCCGCCCACACCACGGCGCCGGGGTCGAAGCGAAGGCACTTCTATGGGGTGGGAAAGTTGGGGGTCGGGGGGGGGGGTCTCAGAGGTAAAGGGGGAGGTGGGGGGAATAGAAAGGGGGATGGGGGGGGGGAATGATAATGGTCGCTTGGGGGGAGCGCTAAGGGTGATACAGCCAATAGGAGCCAATGGGGGCAGCCGTAAGGGTGATACAGCCAATAGGAGTCAATGGGGGCATCCGTAAGGGTGATACCGCCAATAGGAGCCAATGGGGGCATCCGTAAGGGAGATACCACCAATAGGAGCCAATCGGGGGCATCCGTAAGGGAGATACCACCAATAGGAGCCAATGGGGGTATCCGTAAGGGTGATACAGCCAATAGGAGTCCATGGGGGGAGCTATGGGGTCAGGGAGCCAATGGGGGCATCCGTAAGGGAGATACCACCAATAGGAGCCAATGGGGGCATCCGTAAGGGTGATACAGCCAATTGGAGTCAATGGGGGGAGCTATGGGGTCAGGGAGCCAATGGGGGCATCCTTAAGGGAGATACCGCCAATAGGAGCCAATGGGGGCAGTCATAAGGCTGATACAGCCAATAGGAGTCAATGGGGAGAGCCATGGGGTCAGGGAGCCAATGGGGGCGTCCTTAAGGGAGATGCCGCCAATAGGAGCCAATGGGAGTATCTGTAAGGGTGATACAGCCAATAGGAGTCAATGGGGGGAGCCATGGGGTCAGGGAGCCAATGGGGGCATCCTTAAGGGAGATACCGCCAATTGGAGACAATGGGGGTATCCGTAAGGGTGATACAGCCAATAGGAGTCAATGGGGGGAGCCATGGGGTCAGGGAGCCAATGGGGGCATCCTTAAGGGAGATACCGCCAATAGGAGCCAATGGGGGCATCCGTAAGGGAGATACCGCCAATAGGAGCCAATGGGGGCATCCGTAAGGGAGATACTGCCAATAGGAGCCAATGGGGGCATCCTTAAAGGAGATACTGCCAATAGGAGCTAATCGGGGGCATCCGTAAAGGAGATACTGCCAATAGCAGCCAATCGGGGGCATCCGTAAGGGTGATACAGCCAATAGGAACCAATGGGGGCATCCATAAGGGTGATACCGCCAATGGCCACTGGGGGGAGCCAATGGGGGGCATCCGTAAGGGAGATACCGCCAATAGGAACCAATGAGGGCATCCGTAAGGGTGATACCGCCAATAGGAGCCAATGGGGGCATCCTTAAGGGAGATACTGCCAATAGGAGTCAATGGGGGGAGCCATGGGGTCAGGGAGCCAATGGGGGCATCCGTAAGGGAGATACCGCCAATAGGAGCCAATGGGGGCATCCCTAAAGGTTGATACCACCAATAGGAGCCAATGGGGGCATCCGTAAGGGTGATACCGCCAATAGGAGTCAATGGGGAGAGCCATGGGGTCAGGGAGCCAATGGGGGCATCCGTAGGGAGATACCACCAATAGGAGCCAATGGGGGGAGCCAATGGGGGGCATCCATAATGGAGATACCACCAATAGGAGCCAATGGGGGGAGCCAATGGAGGGCATCCATAATGGAGATACCACCAATAGGAGCCAATGAGGGGAGCCAATGGGGGGCATCCTTAATGGAGATACCGCCAATGGGGTCAGGGAGCCAATGGGGGCATCCGTAAGGAAGATACCACCAATAGGAGCCAACGGGGGGACCCAATGGGGTCAGGGAGCCAATGGGGGGAGCCAATGGGGGCATCCCTAAGGGAGATACCACCAATGGCCACAGGGGGGAGCCAGGAGCACCCACAATGGGACCCTTAGGGATGGGGTCCCCCCATAATAGAGATCCCGTCCCCCCCCAAGCAGCCATTGGGGTCATGGGCCCCATAACAGGGACCCCTATTTTGTAGACACCCCCTTTCCGCCCCACACATCCCCCCCCCCCCCCCAAAACCCCTTCCCAATAACTTCCCCCTCCCATTATTTTGGGGGTGACCCCCCCATAGTTCCCCCATCATAACTTTTGGGGTCCCCTCCCCCATTCGGGTACTCACATTCCTCCCCCCCCATTTCCCCCCCCCCAACACCTCCCTCCCCCCCATCACTTTGGGGACCCCTCCCCCATTTGGGTACCCTAACCCCTGCCCCCCATCACTTTTGGGTACCCCTCCCCCCATCACTTTTGGAGACCCCTCCCCCAATTGGGTACCCCCCTTCCTCCCCCCCACAGTAATTTTGGGGACCCGCCATCACTTTTGGAGACCCCTCCCCCATTTGGGTCCCCTAACCCTAACCCCTCCCCCCCATCACTTGGGAACCCCTCCCCCCCCATCATTTCTGGGTACCCCTCCCCCCCATCACTTTTGGAGACCCCTCCCCCCATCACATTTGGGGACCCCTCCCCCCATCACTTTGGGGACCCCTCCCCCATTTTGGTACCCTAACCCCTCCCCCCCCCATCACTTTTGGGAACCCCTCCCCCATTTTGGTACCCTAAGCCTAACCCCTCCCCCCCCATCACTTTTGGGGACCCCTCCCCCATTTTGGTACCCTAAGCCTAACCCCTCCCCCCCATCACTTTTGGACACCCCTCCCCCCATCACTTTGAGGACCCCTCCCCCATTTTGGTACCCTAACCCTAACCCCTCCCCCCCCATCACTTTCGGGTACCCCTCCCCCCATCACTTTTGAGGACCCCTCCCCCATTTGGGTCCCCTAACCCTAACCCCTCCTCCCCCATCACTTTTGGGTACCCTTCCCCCCATCACTTTTGGGTACCCTTCCCCCCATCACTTTTGAAGACCCCTCCCCCCCATCACATTTGGGGACCCCTCCCCCCCATCACTTTCGGGTACCCCTCCCCCCCCCATCACATTTGGGGCCCCCCTCCCCTCCCCCACCGTTTGGTGCAGGTCGGGGATGCCGATGCGGAAAACCATGCGGCTGAAGTGGGCGTCGTCGGGGGGGGCCGGAGGGGGGCGGGGCCCCCCCCGGGAGCGGGGGGGGAGGGGCCCGGGGTTACCCACCCCCCCTAGCCCCGCCCCCTCGCGGGAGCTCCCCGAATCCGAGTCCCCCTCCGGGTACTCCGAGCCCCGCCCCTCCTCGTCCTCGCTGGAGCCCGGCGAGCGCGGCATCGTCCAGCATCACCTGCGTTTGGGGGGGCAAAAAACGGGGTCAGGGACCCCAAAAATGGGTTCAGGGACCCCAAAATGGGTTCAGGGACCCCGAAAATGGGGTCTGGGACCCCAAAAACCCCTATGGGGACCCCAAAAACCCCCATAGGGACCCATGAATGGCACTGCGGCATCGTCCAGCATCACCTGCGTTTGGGGGGGCAAAAACGGGGTCAGGGACCCCAAAAATGGGTTCAGGGACCCCAAAAATGGGTTCAGGGACCCCGAAAATGGGGTCTGGGACCCCAAAAACCCCCATAGGGACACCAAAAACACCCATAGGGACCCATGAATGGCACTGGGGTGATGTTCAGCATCACCTGCATTGGGGGGGCAAGAACGGGGTCAGGGACCCCGAAATTGGGTTCAGGGACCCCGAAAATGGGTTCAGGGACCCCAAAAATGGGGTCTGGGACCCCAAAAACCCCCATAGAGACACCAAAAACCCCCATAGGGACCCATGAATGGCACCGCGGCATCGTCCAGCATCACCTGCGTTTGGGGGGGCAAAAACGGGGTCAGGGACCCCGAAATTGGGTTCAGGGACCCCGAAAATGGGTTCAGGGACCCCAAAAATGGGGTCTGGGACCCCAAAAACCCCCATAGAGACCCCAAAAACACCCATAGGGACCCATGAATGGCACCGCGGCATCGTCCAGCATCACCTGCGTTTGGGGGGGCAAAAACGGGGTCAGGGACCCCCAAATTGGGTTCAGGAACCCCAAAAATGGGTTCAGGGACCCCGAAAAGGGTCTGGGACCCCAAAAACCCCCATAGAGACCCCCAAAACCCCCATAGGGACCCATGAATGGCACTGGGGTGATGTTCAGCATCACCTGGATGGAGGGCCCCAAAACGGGGTCAGGGACCCCAAAACGGGGTCAGGAACCCCAAAATTGGGATAAAGGACCCCAAAAATGGGGTCAGGGACCCCAAAACGGGATCAGGGACCCCCAAAACCCCCATAGGGACCCCAAAACCACCCCCAGTGACCCCAAAACCAGCGCTGCAGCCTCAACCCCCCCCCCATAGCAGCACCAGGGGCACTGAAACAGGACACAGGGACCCCAAACCAGCCCCAAACCACCCCAAAACAGCCCCAGAGCCCCCCAGAAATGGGCCCGGGCACCCCAAAACAGGAAGGGCACCCAAAATCACCCCAAAACCACCCCAAAACCACCCCAAAACCACCCCAAAACCCCCCAAAATCACCCCAAAACCACCCCAAAATCACCCCAAAACCACCCCAAAATCACCCCAAAATCACCCCAAAACCACCCCAAAACCACCCCAAAATCACCCCAAAAACACCCCAAAAACACCCCAAAATCACCCCAAAATCACCCCAAAACCACCCCAAAATCACCCCAAAATCACCCCAAAACCACCCCAAAATCACCCCAAAACCACCCCAAAATCACCCCAAAACCACCCCAAAACCACCCCAAAACCACCCCAAAACACCCCCAAAGGGCCCAGAAACAGCCCAAAACGGGCCCAGACACCCCAAAACAACCCCACAAATGATGTCAAACACCCCAAAACCAGTCCTAGAGGCCCCCAATACACACAGATAAGCCCAAAACCAGCCCAAAACACCCCAAAATGCCCCAAAACCACACCAAAACACCCCAAAAACACCCCAAAACACCCTAAAACCACCCAAAACACCCAAACCCACCCCAAAATGCCCCTAAACCACCCCAAACCACCACAAAACTGCCCTAAAACACCCAAAAATCACCTCAAAGCACACTGAAACACCCAAAAATGACCTCAGAACACCCTAAATCACCTCAGAACACCCTAAAGCACCCCAAAATCACCCTAAACCACCCCAAAATCACCTCAGAACACCCTAAATCACCTCAGAACAACCTAAAACACCCCAAAATCACCCTAAACCACCCCAAAATCACCTCAAAACACCCCAAAATGCCCCAATATCACCCCCAAACACCCCAAATCACCCCAAAATCACCTCAAAGCACCCTAGAGCCCCCCCAAATCACCTCAGAACACCCTAAAGCACCCCAAAATCAACTCAGAACAGCCTAAAACACCCCAAAATCACCCTAAAACACCCCAAAACACCCTAAAACACCCCAAAATGACCTCAAAACACCCTAAAACACCCCAAATCATCCCAAAACACCCTAAAAACACCCAAAAAACACCCCAAAACACCCCAAAATCACCTCAGAACACCCTAAAGCACCCCAAATCATCCCAAAACACCCTAAAACACCCAAAAAACACCCCAAAACACCCCAAAACACCCTAAACCACCCCAAAATCACCTCAGAACACCCTAAAGCACCCCAAATCATCCCAAAACACCCTAAAACACCCCAAAACACCCCAAAATGACCTCAAAACACCCCAAAACACCCTAAAACACCCCAAAATCACCTCAGAACACCCTAAAGCACCCCAAATCATCCCAAAACACCCTAAAACACCCCAAAAACACCCCAAAATCACCTCAGAACACCCTAAAACACCCCAAAATCACCTCAGAACACCCTAAAACACCCCAAATCACCCCAAAACACCCTAAAACACCCAAAAAACACCCCAAAACACCCCAAAATCACCTCAAAACACCCCAAAACACCCTAAAACACCCCAAAAACACCCCAAAACACCCCAAAACACCCCAAAATTACCCCCAAACCCCCCACCCCCGCCCTAAACTGCCCCAACCCACCCCCCTATCCTCGCACACGCGTGTTCATACGTGTGCCGCACCCACGTGTGCAAGGCTCTGGGGCCACAGCACACATATGGGGTGCAATGGGGGGCTTCATACGTGTGTGACCCCCCCCCGCACATCTACATGTTTGCACACGCGTGTGCACACGGCACGAACACGCTTGTGCACGTCACGCACACGCCTTGTACATGCTTGCGCACACGGTATGAACACACTTGTGCGCGTCACGCACACGCTTGTGCACACGCCTTGCACATGCTTGTGCACATGGCACGAACACGCTTGTGCACACGGCATAAACACGCTTGTGCTCATGGCATGAACACACTTGTGCACATGGAATGAACACGCTTGTGCACATGGCATGAACACACTTGTGCACACGGCACGAACATGCTTGTGCACACGGCACAAACACGCTTGTGCACACGATACGCACACGCCTTGCACACGCTTGTGCACGTGGCACGCACACACTTGTGCGCACAGCACAGACACGCTTGTGCGCATGGCACACGCATGCCTCGCACATGCTTGTGCACACGCTTCACACACGCTTGTGCACACATCTGTCCCATGCCACGCAACACGCCTGGTGCACACGCGTGTGCACGCACCATACACACACTGTGCGCACCCTTGCACGCACACACGCCTCGCACACGCCTCACACACATGTGTGCACGCCCCATACCCACGCCACGCGCTCCCTTGCACGCACACACGCCTCGCACACGCATGTGCACACCCACGCCATGCGCACCCTTGCACACACACGCCTCTCACACACGTGTGCATGCCCCATACCCACGCCGCGCGCACCCTTGCACACACGCCTCGCACACGCATATGCACACACCATACACACGCCATGCGCACTCTTGCATGCACACACCCCGCACACGCCTTGCACACGCCTCTCACACGCGTGTGCACACCCCATACCCACGCCGCGCGCACCCTTGCACACAGACACGCCTCGCACACGCCTCACACACATGTGTGCACGCCCCGTACCCACGCCACGCGCTCCCTTGCACGCACACACGCCTCGCACACGCATGTGCACACCCACGCCGTGTGCACCCTTGCACGCACACACACCCTGCACACGCCTCGCACACGCCTCACACACGCGTGTGCACGCCCCATACCCACGCCACGCGCTCCCTTGCACGCACACACGCCTCGCACACGCATGTGCACACCCACGCCGTGTGCACCCTTGCACGCACACACACCCTGCACACGCCTCGCACACGCCTCGCACACGCCTCGCGGGGCCGGGTCAGGGTTATTTATAGCGGGAAGTGGAGCAGGTCCCGGGGGGGGGACGCGGGGACACGCGCGAGGACACGGCAGCGCCCTTGAACCAGTTGGGATGGATGGGGACTTCATGGGGGGGTCACACACATACATGGAACACGCGTGTGCAAAGGGGGGTGTGCGCTTGATGGGGGTCACACACATACATAGAACACATGTGTGCAAAGGGGGGTGTGTGCTTGATGGGGGTCACACACATACATGGAACACGCGTGTGCAAAGGGGGGTGTGCGCTTGATGGGGGTCACACACATACATAGAACACGCGTGTGCAAAGGGGGGTGTGGGCTTGATGGGGGTCACACACATACATAGAACACGCGTGTGCAAAGAGGGGTGTGCGCTTGATGGGGGTCACACACATACATGGAACACGCGTGTGCAAAGGGGGGTGTGCGCTTGATGGGGGTCACACACATACATGGAACACGCGTGTGCAAAGGGGGGTGTGCGCTTGATGGGGGTCACACACATACATGGAACACGCGTGTGCAAAGGGGGGTGTGCGCTTGATGGGGGTCACACACATACATGGAACACGCGTGTGCAAAGGGGGGTGTGGGCTTGATGGGGGTCACACACATACATAGAACACGCGTGTGCAAAGGGGGGTGTGGGCTTGATGGGGGTCACACACATACATAGAACACATGTGTGCAAAGGGGGGTGTGTGCTTGATGGGGGTCACACACATACATGGAACACGCGTGTGCAAAGGGGGGTGTGTGCTTGATGGGGGTCACACACATACATGGAACACGCGTGTGCAAAGGGGGGTGTGCGCTTGATGGGGGTCACACACATACATAGAACACGTGTGTGCAAAGGGGGGTGTGGGCTTGATGGGGGTCACACACATACATGGAACACGCGTGTGCAAAGGGGGGTGTGCGCTTGATGGGGGTCACACACATACATA